GTTTTTTTTAAAAGAATTAAAATGTTACCACAAACCTGGCCTTCATTAAAAAGTAATCCTGCATTTGATAAAAGTGTCCAATTACAAATTTCATTTTGTAATATAACTTTTCAAATTTAAACAGCAAAAATGGCACATCTAAAATCATTCTAAATAGGCAAAAAAAGACATACTTAGGAAGACTGAGGTTTTGGTGAAAGTTAAAATATTATTTCATACTTTACACAACTTAGAACCATTCCCACGTCTTATAATCTACATCCACGCATTAATTTGAAAGGACCTTGATTCCTGAAATCCTAAATTTAACACTCTTTGGAACAAAATAGCCTTTCTCTTCTGCTTTATGGGCAAATGAAGTAAATATTAGGGAATGGCACTGTCTGGGGCTTTGAACCAAGACTAAAAGAGATGAAACACTGTTTGATGAGTGTAATATTAGAGAACACATTCTGATTTAGTAAAAGGATGAGTCTGTTTCATATCCTGTGACAAAATATTCCCTTTTTCCTGAAGATGCCCTCTCATTCCAACAACAGAGGTGGTTGTTTTTTTTCCAGGGTGTGAGGTGGGCAGGGCTGCCATGAATAGAACGGCTATCTTCATTTCTCAAAATGCACTGTGGTAGGAAATTCAGAATGCAGTGAGGGGATATAAATCTTTGACTTTACCAAAACATAAGGTTGCATTTAAAGCAGCAGGTAAAAGATATAACAGCAACAGTATAAATTCATTATTTGTAATCTTGTAGTTCCCTAAATCTCTATAATGCATTACTTTAAAAGCTTCGGACAGATGGTTTTATAATACTTCACCAATATTTCAACACCTAAAGAGCCTTAGCAAGTTAAACGCCGCAGTCTTAAATTTCAGAAATGACCTAACTCAATCCTTTTATTTTTCAGACTTTCTCTCTCAAATTTTCATTTATTTTCATTCATTGATGAATAATGAGGAATTTTAGGTACATATCCACAAAGAAATGAAATTCTCACCTTTCTAGGAGCCTAAGAAATGAAAAGAAAAAATAAATTCCAACAAAATATTGTCAAAGAAATCTTGTGGAATAGACTGTTACAAGTACTTAATTATTTATACCTAGGGGGCGCTAACACTCGAAGTGCATTCACAAAGCTAGTCTTCAAAGCTAACCCTTAAGTAACATCAGTGTTGATAATATCTGATTTCATGTTTAGCTGAGGTCTTGAAGACCCAAAAGCACCAAGACAAACACACATCTATTGTTTTGGCTACTGTATCCGTCTTCATAACCACTCTTTTCGGGGGAAATATACTGCCGCTGACCCTTTGATAGCGACTAAAGCAGACATGTGCTGTTTCTGCCTGCTCAGCAGCGCTTCTCCCATTTTTCTTTGAAGAACCCCCTATGCTAGACAACGTGGAGCTAACAGCAAACCCCTTTCCAGAGGAAGACACCGGAATCCAAGCTTAGTCAGCAGAAGAGTCCACTCCCCATGTTCAGAGAGAGGCAAGTGACTCAGACCCTGTAAGAACAGCCCTGGGACTTTTGCTGCAAATACTGAAGAAAAAGTGCTCTCTTCTTGTGAGGACTAAGGTGGTAGCAGCTTCCAAGGGGCTATCACATGGAAACAACTTGTCTGAATATGAAGCCAAAACCAGAAAACAGATCCTGATAACCTTGACTGATGGATCCAGCCCTACTTTAAGTGGGGGGACCTACCCATAGGCTTTCTGCATCAACCAAATAAAGCCCTTTATCCTTAAGCCAGTCTGAATTGGTTTTGTAGCTAAAAGAATCCTGAGACTAACAACTTGACAACACTAAAAATAAACACGGCTGCTTTTGAGGTTTCAATGGCCTTTCTTCCTCATATATATTATCTCATTTAATCCTCACAATTCAGGAAGGCACATATCTATTAACGTTAAGTTAATATTCATTATTTTTTGAACACATACTATGTGGAAGAGGGATGGGGAATGCTAGCAGGGGATCAATCTGAAATATGGTGGCCAGGGAAGTCTCACTTACACAGGAGAAAAGTGGAGGTTACATACCGCAGGGCACTCAGTAGATACCCACCAAACGAAAGAATGAGCAGTGTGTGGCAGAGCCAGGAGGTGGTCCTGGCACTAATCCTTCAGTGAAAATTAGGAGGCTCCTGCAGTGGCCCAGGCCAGAGACCATGAACCCCAAACAGGCAGCCCCATGAGAATGGCTCAAACAACAGGACAACATAAAGATAGAGCCAACTTAGATGCCGGGTACCTAGGTGGAGGCAGTTGTTGTCACGGGGATAAATAAAGAAGAAAGGGGCACAGTTTGGGAGGCAAGGCAGGAGACAAAGTATGGATCAGCTAAACACGCCTGCATGATTTATAAGCAAAGAGGTCCAGCAGGCCCTCGGAATGACAGGTCTGGGCTGCAGAGGCTGAGACTGGAAATAACAAGATGGAGAGCCACTGGCATACAGATGGCAGTCAGGCCTGAGCACTGCTGGCACAGCCTCACCACGCAGAGGAGAGGAAGGGGCGGGCGACTCTCCCTCTAGGTAATGTCAGGCCTCGTGTGAGCTCCGTGAGAGCGGGCTTTCCCTCCGACACGGCCAGCACTCAGGAACTGTGCGTGGAGTGTGCTGTTGGTTCTACATGGCTGTTCCTCCTCCACCGGCAGAGCTGCCAATCTTGGCCGCTGTACTTGGAGCTGTCTCATTATTCAGCTCTCACCTCTTAAATTAGTTCATGCTCTCACATTAGCTGTAATCACAGCTGGCGACGCTTTCTGGGGATGTCTCAAAAAGATCTGAGTTGAAAAATATTTTGTCATTTTAATTTAAAGTAAAATTCCTGCCTCCTCCCTCCCCCTCTTTCCCTTTCCCCTGGGGCCCCCCGTGATCCCGGCGGGTCGGAGATGGGGTCGCGCCCAGGTAATTCCTTAAACAGCCATCAAAGTCTCAAAGCAACAAAGGATGTGGAGAATCGGAAAGGCGTGGCTGTGGGCGATTCCGAGACAGGTTTCCCCGCGCCGGGGAGAGCGTGCCCTAGGGGGCGGCAGACCCCAGCGGAGAGCCCAGAGGCGAAAGGAGGCGCGGTCAGGCGGCGCCCCGCGTCTCTCCAGATCCCCGGCTCGCGCAGACGTCCGTCTGCTCCGGCTCGGCTGAGCACGCAGTTCAAGGTCGCCCGGCGGTGGCCAGAGCGCCAGGTGCCGTGGCGGGCAGCATCCCCACCCTCCTCTGCTGGGGTCCAGAGCCGGCGCTTTCGCTTTGGACTTGGAGAGGTGCGGGGGCCCCCTGCTCCGCCCGCTTGCCCGCGTTCCTCTCCGCCTCCCGCAGCCCCGGCCGCAACGCGCCCTTCCTCTCACCATCGCCGCAGCGCCTCTCTCCCTGCCCCTTAGCCGAGCTGCATTTTTACCTTCACGTCTGTGACTACGTGTGTGTGCCAAGTTCTAAGTCAATGCGTGAGGCGAAAATTCACTTCGGGTCAAAATTACCCCTGAGAAATCGCCCATAAATCACAAGATTGGGTGTCTCCACTCAAGGCAAGGATGTACGGGGACACGCGCGGGTAAAACATCCCGTAAAGGTGCACAGTAAATAAAAAGTACGGATGCAGAATGTAAACTGTAAGTGCAAAAGAGGACAATGATATTAGGTAAATGAGCCTCGTGGGAGCCACCGTACTTGTTACTGCCCCCACACCGGGCTGGAAGAGGCACGAGGGCAGGCCTCGTCCGGTTTTGCTCACCACGGCACCCTCGGCGCCTGCACCAGCGCCAGGCACTTCGTAGGTGTTCCAGGATCTATCCTGAATAAACGAACGAGCGAATGAATGAATGCACGCTCCAGCCGACTCCGCGGTGCGCAGAGCAGGCGCCTGGAGAGGCGGGCGAGGGCGGCGGGCCCACCTGCATCCGAGCGGCCGCGGGCTGGGGAGACGGGCGCGGGCACTCCGGCCTCGAGCCCCG